GCACCTGGGTCTCTCACTGTTTCCAGCATCACACCCCAGGCCTGACACACGCTTGGAGTTCAATAACACTTGCATAAAGCCAGTCATAGCTGACTGAGCTCCAGGCCAGAATGCCTTCTGGGAAGTTGAGAGGCCCCCACTAAGTGGTTCCCAGTATTGCACCCCTAGGCCGACAGTGGGGTAGGGATATGACCACACCCAAATCAGGAGGCATCCTGTGCCTTCCCACTTCTGTCCTCAGCACCTGCCACCCTTGTGGGCCAGGACTCCAGGGGACCAGGCCAGGCTACACTCTCAGAGCCAGGGCCAGGGTGGAACCAACAGGCCCGGAACTATTTCTCCCAGCTAGACCCACGAGGAGACAGTTCTGCCCCACCAATTCCAGATGGAGCTGCAAGAACAAAAAGGCAGCTGTGGTGCTAGCTGGACTGACCCTCTCCCCCAGCCTTCTGAAGTATATCTTAAGCAAGCTGTCCCTTGTGGTTCATTAGGGCTGTATGGGAGCCTAGACCAGCCCCCTCACCCCACTGCTGCAGCTCAGCCCCTCTTGGAGCTTGCTTGTCCACCCAGTCCAGGGACTTCTCTGGTCCACATAGAAGCCATCCCCTAAGCCATCCTCCAGCCAAGCCAGGTGTCCTAGGAACCAGGCACATGCTAGACCCACAGCCCTCTGACAGCCCTGTGACCGTTCATTCTTCTCTCCCTCCCAGCCAATGGATCTCCCCCCTGCTCCCCTCACGAACCTTCTTTCTCGAGGAGCCAGCCTTGGTGAGGCAGGACTTCTCTAGAGCCAGGTAGCCACCAATCACCTCAATCTCATGCACGGTGGGATAGCGCTTCTTCAGGGCAGTCCCGGGGGTGGCTGGGGAGTCTGCTGGATGGCCTGCCTCCTCCTCCACAGCTTCCTGTGGCCCAGGCTCCCCATTAGCTTGCAGGGGCCCTGGCTTCCTCTTGGGCACCACGGTGAAGGTGTTCCCACTTCTCGGTTGGAGCCCTGACGGCTGTCCAGCCCCAGGGGAGTGCCCGTGATACCAAGGAGGCCCACCAGCTCCTGAGCAGGGCAGTTTGGCTTCTTGGGGGACCTCGTCGTCCGAGTCCACCTCATCAATGAAGGTAACAGGCAACCCTGGCCTCCCAGGCTCCCTGCTGTTCTTGGCCAAGCTGGGAACCCCAAGGCCCTGGGCAGGCTTAGCTTCGGCAGCAGCTGACAGACACAGGGATGGTGAGGACAGCCTCTGCCGCCTAACAGCCTGGTCTATGAGGGCAGTAGCTGGCCTGGGGCAGGCCCCTTCCTCGACCCCCAAGGGGCTCCTCCCTCCCGCAGGCACATTATCCCTTTCAGGCACCAGCTGGGCTTCGAGCTCCAGGCTTTGGGAGGCCCAGTCAACCTCTCTCTCTGGCAGCCCCCGGGCCTGCCTCCCTTCAAGAGAGGGTTGCGCAGAGGCCTTGCGCTTAGGGATGAACACAAAGGAGTTTCGAGAGTTCATGCGAAGGCTGGCCAGGGCCCGGGCCTGGAGGTCCCCGGCAGGGATCCTATCCATGTCTGGCTTGCAGGCTGGCCTTATCTCAAAGGAGTCATTGGTGCTGGTGGCTGCGGCGACCCACTGGCGCTGGCTGGGAGTGGCACTAGCAGGGTTGGACGTGGGCAAGGCCAGGGACGCAGCTGGAGTGGCACTGGGGGTCCCAGGGCTGGGGGACGGATGGACCGGGGGTTCCCCCGACTCCACCTTTGGCTTCCATTTGCCCGGCCCAGGTGCGGAGCCCGCGAGGCCGTTGGCAGCGCCGGCTCGGGCCTCGGGGGCGGCAGGCCCGTTGCCGGGTGGGTGAGGGCCAGCGCTGTGGTGCAGGCCCCGAGGGTGGACGGTGAAGGAGTTGCTGCCGGTCTTCTGCAGGAAGTCGCCGCGCCGAGCCCTGGGCCCTGGACCGCGGCGCTCGAAGCAGGCGGCGCGCTCGCCCACGCGCGGGGTGGCCGGGCCCCGAGCGGGCGGCGCCGGAGGCGGCTGAGGCGGGGGCGGGGGGCGTCCGTCCTCTGGGCTCCCCCGGCGAGGCGGCGCGGCCGGGGCGTCGAACTTCTGGAGCAGGCGGCTGACGCGCCCGGGCGGCGGCGGTGCCTCGTACACCAGCACCTCGGCGGCGCGGATGCGGGCGGCTGGGCCGGGGCCCGCACCTGGGCTGGCGGGCGGGAAGCCGGGAGCCGACTCGATGATGAGGATGTTGTCGGCGTGGAAGGTGCGCACGCCGGGCACACGGCGGTACAGTTCGAGCAGCTGCGGCACCGGCCGCGCCCCCGCCGGCCCCGCACCCCCCGCCGCGCCGCGCCCCGCGCCGCCGCTCCGACTCCAGACGCATGAATGGGTTCTCGCGCAGCGGGCCCAGGCTCTCGGCCAGCACCAGCCGCTCGGCCGCCGGCCCCGAGGGCTCCGCCACGCCCGCCTCGGCCCCGGTCTCCGGCGCCGCGCCGCCGGCTAAGGCGGCCAGCTTGGCGCGCTTCCGCTCCAAGATCTCCCGCTTCCAGGCGGGCAGCGCAGCGCGGGGCCCCGGGCCCGGCCGCCCGAGGCCAGCCATGCTGCGGAGCGGGCGCCAGAGGCAACGCGCGCCGGGAACTGCAGTCGCCGCCTGCCTCCGGCCTTCGCGCCGCGGCCACGCCCCCCGAGCGCCGTCCCTGGGGGCGGGGCCGGCTCGGACCCGCCCCGCGCCCGGGGCTCCACCTACTGCAGCCGGGGCCTCGCCGGAGACCGCCGGTCACGAGAACCGGTTCCCATTGGGGAAGGCCCTCCGGGGCACGCCCCCGGCCCCCGCGCGGCTCATTGGTGGCCACACTTCCGCCTCTGCGCCATTGGCCTGACGGAGGCCGGAGGGCAGAGCCCTGTGGGGGGGTTCCAGACCGTCAGTCCCCGCCGGAACATCCCCCCCCCCCCCCCCCCCCCCCCGGGCCTAGCTTGGTGGGTGACTTTAGCTGGGTTCGGTCCCTGCTCGTCATGCCAGTAGCCAGTCCGTCTGCTCCTTACGCTCAGAACTCAGTGAGAGAAGGGCCTGCCCAGGGCGGGAAAGTTGTCCCCGCTGGTTCAGGGACTATCCACCTGTGCTCCTAGGTCCCCTGCAAGACTTGGCCAATGGTGGCGCCCCACCCTGTGTGAGGAATTGGTTTCTCCGGCACCCCTAGCTTTTGCCAGCCGCAGACCTCACTCCGTGGCGCCCGCCAGTGGGAGAAGCCCCAGCCCACACTTTGCCCCAGCCCACACTTCAGGGCCCACGGAGCAGGGACAGGAGTACAGGAGCTGTGAGGAGGTACAGGGAAAGGTCCTCGCACACAGCTCTCCAACGCAGGCTGGGCATTACACCCTGTTGCCTCCCCACACTACTTCCCCCATCCAAAGGCTAGTAGGGGTGCCAGGGACCTTAAGGGTTCGGCTTCCTTGCCCACATGCCATGAAAAAGCTCACTCCCAGTTGAGGGCTGCACAGCATCCACAACACTGTTTGAGGCACAGCAGAGCCAAGGGAGAAATTGGGGGGGGGAGGACACTGCTTTTCCCTCACCTGCCCTGCACTCAGCACTTGCTCAGTCATGGCACTCGCTCCAAGGACACCAGGGCTCTGTGTAGATGGGGACAGGTTTCAACCTGGGGTGCCTTTCTCAGCTTCTGGGTCCCAAGGTGGTCAGCACTACCACCACTTTTCATACTGACCTACTCCTTTCCACTCTGTTAAGCTGAGAAAATAAACTGCATTCAGCCTCTCCAAGGGACACTAAGCTTGCTTATGCTCATCACTTCTATAGCAACAGTATCACTCAATTGTGAACTACAGAATAAAACAGTACACAACAAAGCATGAAAGTAACATTAGAGGCGGGGCGTGCCTGGGTGACTTAGAGGTTGGGCGTCTCCCTTCGGCTCAGGGCATGATCCCTGGGGGTCCAGGGATTGAGTCCCACATCAGGCTCCCTGCGAGAAGCCTGCTTCTGCCTGTGTCTCTGCCTCTTTCCCTCTCTTTCTCATGAATAAATAAAATCCTTAAAAATAAAAGTAACATTAGAAGAAAACCCACTCTCGGGGCACCTAACTGGCTCAGAAAAGCATGGGACTCTTGACCTCAGAGTCCTGAGTTTGAGCCCTGATATGGCTGTAAGGATTACATAAGTAAATTTTTAAAAAGAGAAAAGAAAAGAAAATCCACTTACAATATTGAGCTTCTATCAGACTTTGACACAAATTATGCCAATCCTGGGCAGAAAACACTGTGGCTATGGGACAAACCAGACCAGTCTCCAACTCAAGCATCCCAGGCATGCAGTATCCATTTTAGGCAGAGGGTCACAAAGCTGCTTCACTAAAATAAAGGTCTGCAAATCTGTTCTGTAAAAGGCCAGACAGTAAACATTTTATCTTAGCGAGTCTCACCAGGGACAGTTTCATTCCCCAGACTTACTAATGTATGGAGACACTTCTGGTTGTCACAAGCGAGGGGTGCTACTGGCATCTAGTGAGTACAGGCCAGAGACACTATTAAACGTTTATACTATGCTCAGAACAGCACTCCCCTCCCCACCCATCAAAAAATGATCTGACCCAAAAGGCCAACTTTGAATGACCCTGCACACTGCAGACCATATTTACATTGTCACACGCTCTTCATTTTTATAACCCCTTGAAAATGTAAAAATCACTCTCAGCAAATGGGCAGTACAAAAACATGCCTCAGGCCATAGTTTGTGACCCCTGCTCTACAGCACAGCCTATAAAGACCATACACTGGCAGGAAGACAAGGTTCTGAAGTCACACAAACTATTCAACAGGTCCTCAACCCTATGCTGCTTCACCTCAGCTCCCCAGGAAGGAAGACAAGCTTCTCTGAGGGAACGCCCCCACCCACCAGTGAAGTTCTAGTGCATTCCAGTCTCCTACAATCAACTCTGGAACCAGCTACGTGATGCATGGGGGGAACATTCAGCATTCATCGGATTTCACCCTCAAGAGGTCAGGCAACCACTACACATCTCAGCAAAACATTCTTATTTTATTTTTATCTCAGACATTCTCATTTGGCACCTAACTGGCATTAAAGACCCTAGGGGGAAAAAAAAGGCTCCAGGCCCCCAACCGTGGGCCAAGACCATTTGTGGGTCCCAGCCTAGGAGCATCAGAGCTGTTCCTCTAGTCCCTTTTTTAGGGAGGCCTAAATCTGTCTCAGGTGTGCTAACAGTGCTGGCCACAAGGTGGTTGAAAGGTTGTGGACAATGCAATCGGCTGGGATAGAAGCCAAGCAGTGCTTTATAAGCAAAGTTCCTTCAGGCAACAGATCTCCAAATAGGGTCCCAATCACGCTTATTCAACATACTCCTGTCTGCCTGGGCTGGAATGAAGAAGGGGCCATCCTCCCCAGTGGCTCAGGGGAGGAGACACAAGCTTGTTTACATTTTTTAGAGCTCAAGCATCTAGGTAAGTCTTGTCTGGATAGATGGGGCAGTGAGCTCTTGGGTTAGTGCTGCTGGGCAGAGGAAATCCCCAAATCCAGCTTTGCAGCTTTTGCATATGGAGTACTTCCCCAAGATCCAGGGAAATACTCTGAGCCCATCAGGACATTTTAAGTATATGTAGCTTCCAACTGTCAAAGGAATTCTGTAATGTCTGGTGTGGGGTCCTTCTCAGGATCTCAACTCGCGATTACCTATTCAAAACATGAAATAACAAGAAATACATTTTAAGGATCAAGGCTGCTCTTTTTAGCTTTGCTGAGGGAACAATTTTAGACGATTGGTATAGAGAAAATTGAGCACTCGCCAGAGCAGCAGCTGGCTTTGCTTTCAGACCCAGACTTCTCCTTTGGTACGGTGGAAGGCCCCTTTAGGGCCTCAGCTCGGGGTTCAGCATCCAAGCTATCCAGAGTTCTTTCTCCCGCCTTTCTGCGAGGTTAGTTGACCCTACAGGCACGGATCATGAGCAGCTGCAGAAGAATGAAGACCGGAGACGTGATCAAGCCAAACCAGAGCTCCCGAGTCTGTTCTACCAGCTTCTGGCACAACAACATCTCGAAGACAAACTTGAGGCTAAGAACCGTGAGGACCCAGAAGAGGCGGAGCACAGCCAACCGCTTCTCTCCGTCCTGGAAGAGGCGTACAGACACGATGGTTGTGAAGTAGGTGCTGAGCCCATCAGCGGCAAAGAAGGGCACGAACACGTTCCACCACGAGAGGCCAGGGGCCAGGCCGTCCACCCGCAGCGCCAGCAGCACAGAGAACACCAACAGGGCCAGCAGGTGCACGAAGATCTCGAAGGTGGCGAAGCCCAGCCACTGCACCAGCTCCCGGAGGGAGAAGAGCATCGCGCCGGTTTAGCGCGGGCCGCGGCCCGGCCGAGCGTCTCACCCACGGAACTGCTCCTCCTCTCCCCGCGGGCCTCGCCGGCACCTGCCGCCGTCGCTGCTGCGGCGAGCAGGACACAGCGAGTGGTTCTGCCTGTCCCCGCCTTCGGCCCTGGCGTGGCGCCAACACCCCGGCCCCGGTCCGGGACCCAGTACCGGCCGCTAACGGACGCCAGCCTTTCTCGGACGCCATGCCCAGGGGGCGCGTCCTGAGTGCGTCACTTCCGGACGCCACCAGAAGTCGGAAGTCCCCGCGGATCCCGGCTGCCGGGGCTGGCGGGACCTGCTGGCCGTTTGAGTTCCCGGGTACAGGGCTCTCCGGGCGCGCCCAGATGCCGAGCCCGGGGCTTCTGGTGCTCTTCGGCAGCCAGACCGGCACGGCTCAGGATGTGGCTGAGAGGCTGGGCCGCGACGCTCGGCGCCGGCGGCTCGACTGCCGCGTGCAGGCCCTGGACTCGTACTCGGTGGTGAGGGCCCCCCGCGGCCCCGGCGTGCAGACCCAGCTGGCCTGGGGCGTCAGGGCGCCGCATCCTAGCCGACAGCGGGCCCTGCCTTCATGGTGGACCTAGGGCGCGGGAAGCCGGGGTCGGCGACGAGTGGGCGGGGGTGGGGTGGGGGGTGGGGGGTGTGAGGGTGGACCCTGACCGAGCAGGTTTAGGCCTCTTGCTCCAGCAGCCTGAGTGGCAGCGAGGGGGCCTGGTCCTTACAGCCTGAGGCCTTACACGTGTGTCTTTTCATTGAGGTGAATCTGATTAATGAGCCCCTGGTGGTATTTGTTTGTGCAACTGCAGGCCAAGGAGAACCCCCCGACAACATGAAGGTAAGGCTGGCTCCTTCGTGGAGCTCAGATTGCTGCCCTGGACCCTCACTGTCCTTTCGTTGCCTGAGTGTCCCATAAGCACAATAAACAGTTGCCCTCCCATAGGTGCTGTCAGCTTTGAATGTGGAAGGGTGTCCTGGGGTGGAGCTGGAGGCTTTAGCTGTCCTCTCTAATAAACTCTTCACGGGCACCAAGTAGCCTTCTTCTGCATTTTAACCTTTAATATTTTCTCCAGGGCTGTGTATGGATCAGGTGGTCTATGTGTGTATTTCAAAACCAGGACTTTACCAGAACATTCTTCAGTTCCTTCAACATTCTTGAGCAGACACTGTATTCCAAGCGTGATCTAGGGCTGGGCATCCAGCCATGAACCTATTTCTGTCCTCGTGGAGCTCACAATAGAGCAAAAGCAACAACTTTCACAGGCAGTTACGATACTAGGAGATACATGCTGCCAGGGAAAGTGCCAGATGCCATGGGGCATTAATACAAACTTTCTAGCCCAACCTGGGGCCTTAGGGAGAGCTTTCTGGAAGGAAGGCTTGTAGGGCTAAGACTTGAGGGGGAAGTGGGGCTGGCCTGTGCAGAGGAGAAAGACTACGTCTGGGAAGACCAGGAAGCATTTCAGTGTGACAGTGCCAAGGAGAGCACGACGGTGGGAGGAGAGAAGGGACGCAGGAGGCCAGGCCTGGCCCCAAGCAGCCCAGCAGCCACAGTAAGGTGGACGACTCGAGGTGAGGAGCCATGCAATCCACTGTGTGATTCAGGCACATTTGTATTCCAGCAAAACTGCCACTTGCTAATGGGGAGGGCAGGGTACAGGAGAGCAAGAACCCCAGAGAATGCACCCTGCGGGCAGTAGGCTGGTGGCCTGAGCCAGGATGATGTCAGGCCGTGGAAAAATAGATGTGTTCCTAAGATGTTAGGTAGAACCCAGAGAGCATGGAATCAGGTTCAGGCTGGAGGACCAGAATGGATGGCAGTTCCGTGCACAGAGGGACCAGGAAGGCCAAGTGCTAGAAGTTGTCCAGGTGGAGATGCAGGGTTCGTGTGGAGATCTAGCAAGGATCTTGGGTGAGGCGTGAGCCAGGACACACCTTCTCCTGGGACAAGGTGCCCTGAGCACCAAGGCTGTGAGAGGTGGAGGAGGACAGGGCAGGAAAGCGGCCCCCACACAGTCAAGAGGGTCAGGGGCACAGAAGTGACTTGTGAGAAGAAGGTTTGCAGCACCCAAATCTGCACAGAAATGAAGTGAGAGAAGGCATGAGCGGCACTAGTCGGGTTTATCAACAAAGGGACTGTGATCGTGACCGTGGGGAAAACAGTTTCAGCAACTCACAGGGAGTGAAGAGGGTCACAGGCTCAACCAGTGAGTGAGTGTAGAAAATCTGCATTGAACCAACTGGTGCCTGGCGGACTCAGTCCATTAGGCATCCAACTTGATCTCAGCTGAGGTCACAGCCTCAGGGTCTTGAATTCAAGCTCCATGCCCAGTGTGGAACTTACCAAAAAAAAAAAAAAAAAAAAGATTCTGGCTGTGAATGGGGCTAAGGGGTTGGAAAGAAAGTATTACTAAGATAAGAGAGAGCTGTTATATACTGGGAGGGGAGGTGCAGAGCCCGGGGGCAGCCAGAGGCTTAAGATTAAAGAGCAAGGTCACTGTAGGGACAGAGTAGGACACCTGGGGCTGAGACCCTAGCACAGTCAGGAGGGGTCTCCCTAGACAGGAAGAGGCACAGGAGAGGAGGCAAATGTGAGGGGATCAGACAAGGGTGAAGGGTGGGTGCCCAGGACACAGGGCCTGGGAGGGGAAAGGAGACAGAGTTTGCTGAGGTGAGCTGGGCTGGGGTACAGGCTGGATGTCAGCAGGAGGGGGCGAAGGTCATCCCCGGATGACTGCAGGCATAGACACCACCATGGGAGTGGTCAGCAGGGGGCCCTCCCCAACCAGAGCAGGGCCTGGAGGCTCCTTGGAGAAGCTGCAGACTGAGGTCCCAGGGACATGGAGGAGGGGGCATGACGCCTGCTGAAGACCCGGTTTAGTGACCAGCTGCACAGAGGGGACCCCTCTGTAGGGAAAGGAAGTCACCAGAGTGGAAGACCCGGCAGGATCCTGGCTGGAAGATCTATGTGGGTGACAGGCCTGAGCTCATGGTTTCCCGTCAACTTCTTAACTACAAATAGGCCACAAAGAACCACCACAGCCTCAGAAAGACATCACTGCAAGAAACCCAGATATAACCTGGGGGAGCAGGGACGGAGCAGGCCCCCCAGAACTTGGCATCCATGGGACAAGAACACAAAACAGCATGAAACCAGAAGCAGAGGAAATGCTTGGGAAAATTTGAAAAGATGAGAGTGACGTTGAAACATCCTGGCAAGTCTGGTAAAAAAATGTTCTAGGAAACAAATCAAATCAAAACCCCGAGATCAAAACAAAACCCCGAGATCATTTTCAGAACTGTAACCTTCACATGTGGGCCATGGAGTGGGGAGAGATCATCCTGGGGCGGGAGGGGCCCACCTATAAGGGAAGGCTCCAGCCAAGGCACGATGTGCTGGCTTGCAGCTCTTGGGGACAGAGCAGGACACAGGGACACTGGCTTCTCGGCACCAGTGGCCTGGCTGGACCGGCTTGGGGCAAGGCCTCAAGCTCCTTGGGAAGGCAGCTCCCTGTGGAAGCAACCTGCCAGTCACTGTGAAGGGTGGACCTGGGCATTTGCGGCTGAAGAGTGGTGGGAAGTACCATCACTGGGCCTCTGCAGGGGGAGTGTGCAGGGGTCCGTGGAGGGGGGGCAAGTGTCCCCAGCGGTGGCTGAAGCAGCACAGTCCTAGGGTGGCGAGGGGGCAAAGCAGCACCCCGACAGGGCCCCTGTCTATAGAGATCTAAAGCAGAGAGGAGGCGGTGTACAGCTAATGTCCTGAATGGCACTCAGGTTGTCACGGGCTGAAGGTGATGGAGAACCGTGTTGGAAAAGTGCGTCGGAGGCTGGGGCCCAGCGCCGCCTAGGACGTGCTCCGTGAGGGCCCCTGGGTGGAAAGGTCAGGCACCGGGCTGTGACTTTGGGGGACTGGGGATAAGGCCTCAAGGATGGCCAGATGTGTGGGGGTGACAGTGCCCTGGGGAAGGGCACAGCTAGAGGTCTTCAGCCAGCACGGTGACTTGGGGGGAAAGCAGCAAGTGCAACACTGCCTGGTGGGGACTAAAGGCCAGGAGAGAAACCACCTCCCACCTATGGGGTGAGACTAGGGCCTCAGAGGAGCTGATGGCCTTCAGGACACAGGACTCAGTGTGAAGGCGGAGGCCATCCCTTGGGGAGACCCAAGCAGGAGCTGATACTTCCCCCACCCCAGGGAGGGGAGAGCTGTGGGACAGGTGTCAATGGTGGCTTCCCCGCATCAACTCCGCAGCCTTCTCTCCCAGCCCAGGGAGGGGTGGAGCGCCACGTTCTATAGGACAGCTTGCTTGCTTGCTTTCTTAAGATTTATTTATTTGAGAGAGAGAGAGACTTAGGCAGACTCAAGCTCAGCATGGTGTGGGGCTCGATTCCATGACCCTGAGATCACAACCTGAGCTGAAACCATCAGACACTCAACTGACTGAGCCATCCAGGTGCCCCTGCGGGACTCGATCCCGGGTCTCCAGGATCACACCCCAGGCTGCAGGCGGCGTTAAACCGCTGCGCCACCAGGGCTGCCCGCAACTTTCTTATTTACAATTTTCTACCCCAACCTGGGACCCCAGTGGTGCCGCCGCCTCTAACTTGGTTTCTTCTGGCTGTAGAACTTCTGGAGGTTCATATTCCGGAAGAACCTGCCATCAACCTCCCTCTGTCAGATGGACTTCGCTGTCTTGGGCCTCGGGGACTCCTCTTATGCCAAGTGAGTAGGGGTGGGAGAGCTTCTGGCCTGCAAGGCCTGGCCTTGGGCTTGAGCACAAAGCGTTTTGGTAGAGGGACAGGTGACTCAGCCCCGGGGCTTTTGCTAGACCTTGGGCCGTGGCCGGGCTGTGCATCCTGCTTCTGAGGGGACCACCAGGGAGCATCGGGGTTTGCAGGGTAGGCAGAGCATAGATGGCTGGCAGGCCGGCAAAGTGCGGCCCAAACTCAGGAGTGGACCCAAGGTGCCTTCCAGAGCAGGAGGTGATGTCTGGAGCTGGGTGTCTGGGGTCTCATGCAGCATCAGAGGACATGTGACCTGGGGCAGCAAAGGCCGACTGGCTCTTTGCCCACGTTTACGTTCATGTAGCCAGGAGATACTTGGGCTTACCAAGGGCACAGAGAGCATGCAGTGGGGACCAGCCAGGAGCACAAAAGGACCCCCCGTCCCCCACCACCGCTACATCCCTGGGTGTGGTTGTGTGGCCACCTCGGCTTTGTTTTCTCTCCAATTTTCAGGACAAATCTACGTTCTAAGCAAAGAGTAGTCTTGCTTTGTGTGATTTCTTTTTTTTTTTTTTTAATTTTTTAAATTTATTTATTTATGATAGTCACAGAGGGAGAGAGAGAGAGAGGCGCAGAGACATAGGCAGAGGGAGAAGCAGGCTCCATGCACCGGGAGCCCGATGTGGGATTCGATCCTGGGTCTCTAGGATCGCGCCCTGGGCCAAAGGCAGGCGCCAAACCGCTGCGCCACCCAGGGATCCCCTTTGTGTGATTTCTTGAAGCAACGGGGGTATGTGTGTCATCAGGTCTGGCGCAGGGGCCACCACCTACAAAGCCAGGCCAGCGGGAGGAGGACAGGGAATGGGTGGTAGTGTGACACCTCTCCTGGGGAGTTTTGTTCTGTGCCCCACAGAGACACATGCTTGGTACGCACACATGCTTGGTATGCACACAGGCCCGAGGGTGGGTGGGAGCCCTCTTGCTGACCACGGTCCCTGGGAGGAGCTGTCTTGCAAGGCCCAGGATCTGGCGTGGGCTGCCTCCCCTTCACTGTCCTCCAGCCCAGGGATGCAGCCTGCCCAAGCCTTTCTCTCCCCCCTACCCCCCACCCCAAGGTTCAACTTTGTGGCCAAGAAGCTGTACCGTCGGCTGCTGCAGCTTGGGGGCAGTGCCCTCCTGCCTCTGTGCCTGGGCGATGACCAGCACGAGCTGGGGTGAGTGGGATGAGGGGGTGCCCTCCTGTGGGGTCCAGCCACAAACAGGGCCCCATGGGCTAGTGCACACGTGCTTTCTCCCCAGGCCTGATGCAGCTGTGGACCCCTGGCTGCACGATCTGTGGGAGAAGGTGCTGTGGCTGTACCCCGTGCCCCCTGACCTTGGCGTGATCCCCACCGGAGTCCCGTGAGTGTGGGCCACACGCGCAGCAGAGCGGCCCGGCTGCGGAGCTGACGGCCTGACCCAGTGTGCCCTCTCCACAGTTTGCCCTCCACGTTCAGCCTGCACTTCCTTCTGGAGGCCCCCAGGATGTGCTCTGAGGAGCAGCATGGGGCTAGCACAGATCCTCAAGGCCCCCCTTCAGAGCAGCAGCCCTTCCTGGCACCCATGGTCACCAACCAGAGGGTCACTGGCCCCTCACACTTCCAAGATGTTCGGCTGATCGAGTTTGACATCACGGGGTCCGGGCTCAGGTGAGGGGCCTGAGATGCCGGGGGGCTGGAGGCCATGGCCAGGGGCTTGGCTGGTCCTCCCCCAAAGCTGGAGAGAGTGCGGCCAGCAGGGTAGAGGGGTGCGGGTCAGGCAGCAGGGAGACTCTGCATCCAGGGACCCCCAGCCCCACCATCCTTCCCTGTGCAGCCACCCCAGGAACTCCGTGCTCTGCCCTCTCCTCTCTCACTCTTCCCAGTGGCTTTCCCACACAGCTTTACAGCAGGTGATGTGGTGCTAATCCAGCCCAAGAACCGGGCCAGCGACCTCTGGCGGTTCTGCCAGGCACTGGGCCTGGACCCTGACCAGTACTTCACCCTGCAGCCCCGGGAGCCAGGTGAGCCCTGGGGAGGAGTGGAGGAAGGGATGGAGGGGGCCCGAGGGCCAGGTAAGTCCCCGAGGGCTTGCGGGGGGCGCCCAGGGCCAGGGGAGTTCGAGGGTCGGGGCCCAGTGGCCTGCAGGCATGCCCAGCCCTGCCCATGTCCCTGCCACCTCCTACAGGCGTACCCTGCCCTGCACAACTCCCCCAGCCCTGCTCGGTGAGGCACCTGGTGGCCCACTACCTGGACATTGCCAGCGTGCCCCGCCGCTCCTTCTTCGAGCTCCTGGCCTGTCTGTCTCCCCATGAGCTGGAGCGGGAGAAGCTGCTGCAGCTCAGTTCCCCCCAAGGTCAGGAGGAGCTGTATTCGTACTGCAACCGGCCTCGAAGGACCATCCTGGAGGTGTGAGCAAGTGTGGGCAGGTGCGGGCAGGCCCAGGGCCCTGAGTCTCAGCCTTGTGTGGCCATGCTGGCCACAGCCCACTTAAGGCTATCTCTGCCCAGGTGTTGTGTGACTTCCCGCACACGGCAGGAGCCATCCCTGCAGACTACCTCCTGGACCTCATCCCCCTGATCCGCCCACGGGCCTTCTCCATCGCCTCTTCTCTGCTGGTGAGGGCCTGTGGGGACAGCACCCAGGGCCAGTCTCAGGGGTGTGAGGCCTGGGACTGCTGGGCTAGGCTGCTGGGCATGGTGTATAGGTCAGGGGGTCGCCCTCAACATCTACTCCTCATCTGGGACCACCCCAGAGTGAAGTGGGTGGAACCTGGAGCTTGGGTGGCTGGCAGGGATGGCCCAGTGGAGCAGGGCACCCACCATCCCCTCCCCCAGGCTCACCCCTTGAGGCTGCAGATCCTCGTGGCTGTGGTACAGTACCAGACCCGCCTCAAGGAGCCTCGCCGGGGCCTCTGCTCCTCCTGGCTGGCGTCTCTGGATCCTGGGCAAGGTGACCCCTGCTTTCAGGAGGGAGGGGATGGAGGACTGGGTCCCGGGCCTCTGCTCTCCCGTGTACCATGGCCAGTCCTGGGCTGGTGCCTGGTCCTTGGAGCCTTTTCATGCCTCCCATCTCCTGCCGCAGGACCTGTCTATGTGCCCCTGTGGGTGCGGCCGGGGGGCCTGACCTTCCCAGAGACCCCAGACACACCTGTCATTATGGTGGGCCCTGGCACCGGCGTGGCCCCTTTCCGAGCAGCCATCCAGGAACGAGTGGCCCGGGATCAGACTGGTGAGCATGCAGGACCCAGGGCAGGATGGCAGCTGGGGCTGACTTGGCCAAGCCTTGAGGCCACCTTGTGTTCCCCTAGGAAACTTTTTGTTCTTTGGCTGCCGCTGGCGGGACCAGGACTTCTACTGGGAGGCGGAGTGGCTGCAGCTGGAGAGGAAGGGCTGCCTGATGCTCTTCACAGCCTTCTCCCGGGAGCAGGTGAGTATGCTGGGAGGGCAGGGGCCAGGATGCAGTGTCACCTCCACCTCCAATGCCCTGCCACCTCCCCATAGGAGCGGAAGATATATGTGCAGCACCGGCTCCGCGAGCTCGGGCCATTGGTGTGGGACCTGCTGGACCGCCAGGGCGCCTACTTCTATCTGGCAGGGTGAGCTTGGGCTGCTGGGTGGGGTGGGAGCCAGCCCTAAGGGGGGTCCCAGCCACACTGAGCCCATCTGGCCTGTCCCTCCAGCAACGCCAAGTGCATGCCAGCAGATGTGTCGGAAGCCCTAGCGTCCGTCTTCCAGGAGGAGGGGGGGCTCTCTGGCCCTGATGCCGCTAACTACCTTGCCAGACTCCAGCGGACACTGCGCTTCCAGAGTGAGACGTGGGCCTGAAGAGTTTTCCTGCTGACCTCAGCCACTCTAGCCACTGCTCCCTGCCGGGGGGGGGGGGGGGGGCACCATCACCTCCCAACTTGTCCCCTGTGCAGCCTCGCTCTCCAGTCAACCTGGGGTCCTCTACTCAGCCCTGACACACCACTGCCCATTCACCACCCGACCCTGCCCCTGTCCAGGGTTCCAGCCTACCTCTTGCCTTTCCCACTGGCCCCAACTTGGGTCCTGGTCAGGGTAGTCCCTGGGTTCCCCCCTGCACAGGACAGTGGCTGAGAAAGGACCCGGGAGCCTGGGGAGCCTTAGGAGGTGGGACGGGGTCTTGAGGAGTGCCACACGCCACCGCTCTTTGCCTTAGGAGACCACAGGTTCCCAGTCACCCTGTGCCACATCTGTGTGCCCTGCCACAAAGTGCATGGCTTGGGCTCAGGCTGGAGGTCAGCAAGGACCAGAGCCCCAGGGGGAGGAGGCCCCCAGCCAGCACAGGCTCTCCCTGCCTCCATCTTGGAAAGCCTCAGTAATAAATTGTGGGCTCTGCGTGGCAGTTTCTGACCTCTTCCTTGTGAGCGCCTTGGTGCCTCGGGGTGGGTGGGCACACAGCACGCCCAGATGGGCACAGCCAGCCATGCTCGGCCATCTCTGCTCCCATCAGTACTCAGGGGTGTGATTCTACCGTGAGGCCAGCTGTTTGCCCACATCGTATACACGCAGTGCCCCAGCTCTATGGAGCAGGGGGTGGCCATAAGTGGGCCCGGGGAGGAAGGGCCAGTCCTGACCAGGCCTTCACTCCTCACCCAGTAGCTGCCCCAATGGTGAGGGAAGGCGGCAGCAGGCCCCAGTCATCCCACCCCTGGGAGGGGCCTTCATTGTCCTCAGGGGAATTCCTGTAGGAGGAGTCAGGCAGGCTGGTTTACCCACAAGGCAGCTCCCAGGAGTCCATCGTCAGTGAGGAACATAGGTGGGCGGGGGCAAATTCAGTGGAGACAGCATCCGTGGGCACCCGTGGACACAGGAGCTGCCCAGAACTCCCACCAGCGCTGGGGTCCAAGTAACGTGGACTTTCCCAGGTGAGGCAGGAGCTGGGACCAGGCTGCGGCTGCCTCCAGGTCAGTGCCAGACTCTGCTCGTGCCCAGAGGGCCACACTGACCTTCACAGCTCCAACCACCCTGGTCGCCACCCTGGGGACCCCACCCACGAATCTGGATTCCTGCCCCAGGGCCCCCACTTATGGCCCCCATGACCTCAGCTCTGGCCTCACCAGCCCTGCTGCAGCCCCTCTGGGCCCTGGATGCCTGGCCTCCCTGTGCCAAGTGCTGGCAGACAAAGAGTTAGACAGCACGGTTCTTGGGAACCCCCAGGGTGCTGGGGCTCTAGACAGTGAGCCCCTGCTGGGGGCCACAGCCATGGCCACTGCCTGCCCCTGGGCTGGGCAAGTAGGGGAAGAGGAGGATGGGGAGCAGGCAGGGGAGTTGGGGGAGGAGGAATGCCCCATCTGCACAGAGCCCTATGGGCCCGATGAGCACCACCTGGCTCTGCTCAACTGTGGCCATGGCCTGTGTGTGGGCTGCCTGCACCAGCTGCTAGGCACAGCCTCCAGTGCCCACCAGGGCCAGGTGTGCTGCCCACTGTGTCGCCAGAAGACGCCCATGCCTGAGTGGGAAATCTGCCAGCTGCAGGAGGAACTGCTGTGGGCAGATGGGCCTCAGGGCCCACGGCCCCCTACACCCCCTGCTCCTCCCCACCGGGGCCCTGGGCCCTGGGCCTCCCTAGAGCACCGCTACCGGCTACGCTTCCTGGCAGGGCCTGTGGGCGGCCAGGGCTGCCTTCCCTTCCTACCCTGCCCGCCCTGGCTGGGTGCCCGGCTCTGGGCCTTGCGGGAACGAGGGCCCTGCACCCGCCGCCTAGTACTGCTGGGCCTGCTAGCCCTGGAGCTCCTGGGCCTGTTGCTCATCTTCACGCCACTCATGCTGCTGGGGCTGCTCTTGATGCTGCTGGACCGCTCTGGCCACTGAGCAGGGCCTGTCACACCTGCTGCCAACAGACCGGGAGACCCATGCTAGCCCTGAGGACTGATGACCAAACTATAAAGCCCACGGTGGGGCCGGGCACTAGCCTTCAATCCAGACCCAGGCCTGGGGCCAGGAGCCTGTGTTCAGCCTCTGACGGAGCCAGAGACTTCAAACCACCTGCCGCCCAGACACTAACTACTGGTGCCCACGGGCAGTGCTGGAGGAAGCCTGCAACTGGGCCCTATGCACCCCTTGATACACAAGCTTCATGCTCTCCTCCCGTCCCCTTGCCCGACGTGGCCTGTTTGCAAGAGGGACACAATGGACACGAAAGTGAATGCTGTCACGTTCCAGATAAGGGCCAGTGTGTTCCCTGAAGGTCAGGGCTGCAGGGGCGGGGCCGCTGCTATGCAAGCTCGGGCCACAGCTTCCTCACTGACTGGGTCAGACTGAAGGTGATGGCCCCTGGCTGTCGGGCATCCAGCCCATGCCCCTGAACTACTAGGACAAGGGTCCAGCTAGGCCTCGGAGTTGGACAGCATAGAACTGAGTACCCTGTAACCTCATGGCATTGAGCCCAGGGCCTTTATCTAAAGGACATCTGTACAACCTTTGGGGCTTGTTGGCAACGTGCAGAGTGCTGTACCTAGAACGAGGGATGGCTCTCAATAGACAGCTGCTACGGAGACATCCCTCCATGCTCTTGTCATGTCTACGCGCCTCCTCGATGCCCTGTGGCTCTCCCCAACCCTTCCCTCCCCCACTCCGCCATGGGATCCTCCCACCCCACTACGATCTCAGCCAGCCTATCTCAACCCTGGCTCAGTCTGGCCCAAAGGCCATTCCCATTCAACTTCAGAGGGTCTGGGGAACCAGGGGCCTGGTGTCCCCCATCCAGCTGCCCCCACATCCAGTGGCCAGTGCAGAGGACATGTCCACCCTTTGCCCATTCTGCACATCTGCCCCAACAGCCCACACAGGAGGCTGGCTGGCTCCACACAGGTGTGGGAGGCATTCGCATGCATACACACAGCTAGGCCCAGCCCTCCTGAGTGGCTGCCCTGCCCCAGCCTGGCACCAGTCAGCACAGTGGGCTGACCCCCAGCAACACTGAGCCTGCCTTCAGTGGCTCCAGGCTGGACCCTGTCTGGGCTGCAGCCCCCGGCTCAGGCCACAAGCTCAGGCTTCAGTCCAGGGAACAAGGTGCAAACTTTGGCAAAGAGTTTTAATGGCGGAGTTGGCTGCAGCGACAATGCCACATGGGAAGGGGCCAGAAGCTGTGGTGGGTGAGGGGTCAACAGGCGACAGGGCAGGGCCGGATCCCTGAAGAAGCGGCGAGCAAGGACTGGCAGGCAGTGGTGAGCCGGTGGGTGCTACATGATGGAGCAGGCAGACAGTGGGTTCCGCACATGGCAGGTGCACGCGGCCCCACAGTACTGCCGGAAGGTCTGGTAGCAGCTGCCCTCCGGCTCACCCCCCCACTGGCCACCGGACGGGGCAGTCAGTGCCTCAGGTGGCAGGCGGCTCAAGATAGACGTGTTGACAGCTAGTGCAGCCAGGCCATAGTCCGTGAAGAGCACAGTCTCGCGGCGGCAGGTGGGACAGGAGATGAACTTGTACTTAGGGCAGGACTCATAGAGAATCTGCAGGCACTGCTCACACACAGAGTGTAGGCAGGACAGCACTCGGGGCCGCCGCTGGGTGACATTGTACGTGTGCCCGCAGGTGGGGCACTCCAGGGGCTCACCTGAGGCTGGTGCCGCCGTGCCAGGGGCCCCTGAGGTGGCAGGCCCAGGCCGCACCACGTACTGGTTCACGATGACCTCGTCCGCTGGTGCCACTCGGGGGAAGCCCAACTCCACGCTGCCCTTTCGGGGCCGTCGTGGCAAGGGAGGAGTGCGGGGTGCCCCATCCAAGGCAGGCATGTCCCCTCCGCATGCCTGGTTGACGATGATCTCTGTGTCTGAGGGCCAGGCGCGTTTGGGTGCCAGGGCAGGGGTGGGCCGCGGTGCCGGTGAGAAGCAAGGGGCAGCCGCCTGCAGCTCAGGGAACTTCTCAGGGTGAACAATCTTCATGGCCTCCATCTTGAGGATGACATGGGGGCCCTTCAGGCAGGACATGAGGAAGCCCGGCCAGCCACTGCCCACCTCGGGCCCGGGGTCAGCCGGCATCCGGCTGTCCCCAGTCAGACTGGGTGTTCGGGTGAGTGGGGGTGTTGGGTGAGGCCGGGGAGGAGGAGAAGGGGCAGCATCCTGGTCCTGCCAGGCCTGGTAGGGACCCCGGCCGCCCCGAGGACTCCTGGGGGCGGCCGGCAAGAGCTGGGGGGGCAGGGCCCCCCCCAGTGGCCACAGTGGCTTCTCTGGTCCAGTCCTAGGAGGAGGAGGGATGGGTGGGGGGGGCGGAGGGAGGCGGGGGCAGGGGGGTAGGGGAGGCTGCCCTGGGCTGCAGGTCTGGCCCAGGGGCTCACCCAGGGTCTCCGGCTGCTGAGGCTGGCGAGGGGGCGTCGGGGGGACTCCCCCTGCAACTGAGGTCAGCAGCCCCCGAGCAGGGACATCCGGGCAGGCGGGGGCTAGGTGGGCCCCATGGCTCCAGGACAGGGCGCCCAGGGAAGGCAGCTAGCCTGAGCCTTGGCTGCGGGAGGCCCCAGGCCGCGGGCTCAGCGGCGGCGGCTGCAGCGGGAGCAGAAGAGAGGCCTGGACCAGGCCCGGGCTGCAGGTGAGAGACGGCGTGAGGGCAGCACCCGGGGCCCACCCTCACCCTACACAAAAGACGGGGCGCCCGACCTCTGACCCTGATCCTCACCAGACTCTGGACCCAGCCTCCTCCCCCAAGGCCCAACCCCGGCCGGGGTGGGAAGGGGCTGCGGGTGGCGACCCTGCGGCCGTCCCGCCCCGCCCCGCCCGAGCTCACCTGCCCCAGCCTGGCGTCCCCGGGCCGTGCCGCCGCCGCAGAGGTTGTCTCAAAGGCAGGCCCGGATGCGACGCCCGCGCCTCGGCCCGGCGGCTTCGGCGGCTCCGGCGGCTCCGGCGGCTCCGGCGGCGACCTCGGGCGATGGCGCGGCGCGGCGGGGCTCCCAGGGGCGCGGGGCGCGGGGCTCTGGGCAGCGCGGCGCGGCGGCAGGTGCGTGCGGAGCGTGGCGCGCTCTGCGGCGGAGGCGCGGGGACCGCAGTGCGCGCGGCGCCCGCCCGCGCCCGCAGCGCCACCCCCCGTCTGGGGACCCGCGCGGGGTCCGCGGGGCGGGGCCAGTGTCTCAGCCGCCCCTCCATCGCCGCGGGTCTGCCGCCCGCTCCCGGGGTTGCCCTCCCCTGCGAGCCGCTTGTGGATCAGGACCCCCGCCGTCCCCCCCCCCCCCGCGACGCCCTTTTCCGGTACCCGCGACCCTCAGTCCTTCCTGGCTGACCTGGGTCCACGTCAAGTCCCCCCATCCCCAATTCTAGAAGGGAAATCGTGCTTTTTGAAGCCCAAGGCCTCAATGCCAGCAGAAGGAAGGCAAGGGGGACACAGAGATGGTCTCAGGACTGCTGGTTCCCAGGGCCCTTCCTGGGGACTGCCACACGTCCCCCAGAGAGTCAGGGTCTCTGCTCGTCCTTCCACTCTGTCCCCAGTGGGATCGCCTCCAGGTCACAGGTGCACCCAGGTTGTGTTCAAAGGGGACATGAGGGTGAGCAGGTGTGGACAAGCAAGATATCAGAGGTGTAGACAGAGAAGAGGAACAGTGCTTGGGAGAAGGCTCCAAGGACAGGAATGCTGGACAGATGGATGGGGTGAGGGGTACGCAGATGGTCAGACAACTGGACAGGCCAGTGGGGCAGTCCACTGATGACAACAGGCACCTGCCCAGGGTGGGGTGACCCTTTCTGGCATCCCATCAGGTCAGCACATGCCCTGCTGTCACACATTTGGTGCTAATCTGACCCCACCCAGCAGAGAGGCCCCATTCCTTTCTGTTTCCTCCTCAAGCCGGGCTTCCCTGACCCCCCCAGGAACATACCCTCTGCCTGTGGGGGAGCCTCAGGTGAGAGAGGAGGCAGAGAATATGTTGGCAACTATTTGGGCAGGGACCTCAGCCGCAGGGGCCGGCGCGTGCCACCCCCTGAGCTGCTCCAGTGCTTGCTAGCACTCCCGTGACCAAGCACTGGGCCCTACGCCTGACGGTGTGTCCAAGAGTCTGGCCACAGCCCATCTCTGTCCAGGCCCACCTGCACCTGGTCCTTCCGGGCAGCAGAGCCCAGAGAGGTCACTATTCCTGGTGAGGAAGAACACATGGGCAAAACAGACCGGATGAGTGAACTGAGGCAGAGGGCCTAACTTTGCAGCTCTGTGACCTCAGGCTGGTGTGCCGGGGTCTCAGTTTCCAAAGCCATTTAGAGACAGCGGGTGTGGGGTATGCAGGTGAGTGGGTGCCTGGCAGGATGGGCAGCGAGGGCCTTATGGGGTCTGGCGTGAAGGTAGAGCAACCGAGAGAGCCCCAGCCAGGGGAGGGCTAGGGGCCTGGCCCCGGCCTCAGGTTCTGCTCAACTTCCCACCGGCAGGCCGCGCACCGCAGAAGGAACCAGCCATCAGGCCCCGCCCCTGGCCCTGAGGCCCCGCCCCCTGGCCCTGAGGCCCCGCCCCTAGGCTTGAGGTCCTGCCCCGCGAGGGCCCACCTCCCCGAGCCCGCCCGAGCCCGCGCGGCCGGGGTCGGTGCCGCGCGGGTCATTGCTGCGCTGTCCAGGCTGAGTTTTGGACCGTCCAAGGCCAGCAGACCCCAAACCGGGTCTTTGGAGAAACCTTCGAGCGCGGGGGCTTCTGGGGAATAAAGTTCTCACCGGCTGCCCCCCAGGTGTGTTGCGCGCATGCGCCAGCCTCCGCCTCGCAGCAAGGGGCGGAGTCTGTCGGGGCAGTGGGCGGGGCTTTTTGAGCCTGCGCAATGAGCATCTGTCATATACCTGCGAAGTCCTGGGTCCCGGGCCCCCTCCCCTCCACACCCGGTGCCACATCGGTAGAATTCGTGTCCGGACCGGTCTGACTGGCCTCGTGCGGGCCACCTCGGTCACCATGGCCTCTGGGGTGATTTGATCCGCCCTTCCTGGGGGTTCCCTGGGGTGACAAATCCTGGGGGTGCAGGTCCCAGCCCCTCTCTACCACCTAGATGGCTCTGGGGGAAGATCACCAGTGCCAGGCCCAGACCCGAGCGCTCAGCATGCGTTGTCACCCAGCACATGGCCACCCTGTGTGGCAGGTGCTAGATGAAGGTGAGAATAGGTGCGCATTCCAAAGACGAAGAGTCTGGTGGGGTGGGGAGCTTGTCTCCGAGCCCACCGGAGATGGAAACTGCCGTTTCAGAGATGAGCCAGTGAAGCCCCTGTCGTTGCCAATTGTAAGATGAGTTGTAGCAAAGGTGTGTGAATCAAACGTTTTTTATCATTTAAGAAACTGCAAACCTCCAGGCAGCCTGTGCTCCCACCACCACCATCTGTGTCTGCTGGCTGGAGGCTGTTGCTTCAAATGAGGCCCTCTGCCCTCTGCCCCAAAGCAGGGGCTCCGAGGTGTGTGAGTGATGACTAGGGTTCCCCAGACCCCCTGCAGGCCTCCCCTCTGAGGCTGAGGTCAGGCTTGCCTATTCCCTCCTGCCAGCTGCAGGTCTGTGGAGGGCTGACGTCGGGCTCCACATGCTTAGAGGCTGAATCACCCAGGATGTCAGGGCCCCTTGGAGCCCCCGCTGGGGCCACCACCCACTTGTGCTGGAAGAGCCAGGGCCTCCTGGGATCCCCGGAACCCCATCTTGGAGCTCCGCCCCAGGGCCCCGCCCCTCCCCAGGAGGGAAAAAGGCAGCTGCCAGTTGCTTGCCTCATAGGCACTGGGACCTGGCCCACAGGACACAGGACGAGAGGGTAGACTGCTGCCATCACCACTCCAGGTGGGTCTGGGGCTGAGGACCTTCCCTACACTGGGGCTCAGCCGTGGGTAAGCCCAGCTGCATCTCCCGGCCTCCCACCCCCTTCCCAGTACCATCACAGGGTCCTGCCATGCAGGAAGGGCATCTGGGAGACATTGGCCCTCATACTCAGCTCCCTCACCCCATGCGCGTGTGTGTGCACTCACACGCGCGTGCGCACACACACACACACACACACACACACACACACACACACACTGACATACAGGCCCGGGATACTCTGGTATCTCCACAGCCTGGGTTTTTGCAGGGTGGGCACTGTCTTGGGATAAGGCTGTTCCCTCCACTGAACCAATATTGTCTCCTCTGCCTGCCCCTGCCAGGCTGGGCCATGGACCCACATGAGATGGTCGTCAAGAACCCGTATGCCCAGGTCAGCATCCCCCGGGCTCACCTGCGGCCAGACCTGGGGCAGCAGCTGGAGGCGGCTCCCTCTTCCTGGGAGTCACAGCCTCTACCTGCAGGGTCCTGCCCCTCAGAGCCCACCCGGCTCCTGCAGCCCACTGAGGAGGCCCCAGGGAGCAAGGATGCCAAGGGCGCCAAGGGGGCCACCCAGACCCAGGGCCAACAGGCCTGGCTGCAGCCCGGCAACCCTTATGGTAGTGGGCAGCACCCAGCAGGACTGACCTATGCTGGCCGGCCCCCCATGGGCCGCGGGGATGACATCGCCCACCACTGCTGCTGCTGTCCTTGCTGCTCTTGCTGTCATTGCCCTCGCTTCTGCCGCTGCCACAGCTGCTGCTGCATCGTCTCCTAGCCCAGCAGCCACACCAGTGCCCACGTACTTGGGGCAGCCCCTGGACCATTGTCATGGGTTTTGGCCACTTCCCACCCCGGACAGGAGCAGCTACCTGGCAAGAAGGCCAACAACCCGGCTCCAGCACCTTGCCAGAGAGGCGGGACACCTGCTGTGGTAGCAGCCCTGGGGATACCCCCCTTCGCCTCCCTGGAGGCCCACGGCCCAGGCAATAAAGCAGTGAGCTATGTTCTGGTTATTCTTCTTTACACTGCCGCCTTGAAGAGGGTCCTGGGCTGGATCATATCACGGGCCTCGGTCTCTGTGGGACATTCGGGGGTGGGGAAGGCACTCCTCGGGACATTCTGTGTTGCAGCTCTCAGATCTGTTCAGAGGCTGGATGGGAGGGTGGGATCGTGTCCCCTGCCCTGACCCAGCCAGGCCTGGGTTCAAGCTCTTGCATTCCCTAGGACTCAGGCCAGGGCGGGGAGACAGGTCAGGCCTTGGGTCAGACAGTAGGAGGATGCTACGCATAGAACCGGGGTGTGGGGGGTGGAGCCCCAAGAGAGGCCACCAGGAGGACCATCACGTTGGCAGGACCAGGCAGGTGGGACTGGCTCTGGCAAGTTTCTGTGAGTAGGATCCCAGGCAGCCAGGACCAGGCCCTGCCCATCCGTGAGTCACCGCCCTACCCCAGCCGGGGTGCTTTTCTGGTTCCTCATGAAATGCCCAATTCCTAAACATCTGTGGTGTGGCCCCCATGCCATGCTGCTCATCTGCTGTCCTGCCTCCAGGGCCTGGACCTCCTGAATGAGGTGAGCAGAAAAAGGAGCTGGCCAGTGCTGCCCCTTGGAGGACAGATCTCCCGTTTATCTGAGCAGTGTAACATGCCTGCCTTAGGGGAATGTGTGGGGAGCTAAGCTGCGTGAGGCTGGCATTGCCTCACTGCTGGGGTGAGGCTGGAATGCCAGGGCAAGGAGTGACCAGTAAGGCCTGCGCTGGGCACTCTGACGTTTCCAGGGCCAGGCAGAGACAGCCAGACAAGGAAACTGAGCTGCCCCTGCAGGATGGATGGGTCCTGGTGCCAGCCCTCCCCTGACCCAGGGTGACTGTCCTGTCTCTGGCCGTGGGTGGATACGTCATTGGCCTGACTGTGCAGGGACTCAGGAGTGCCATGCTCCTGGCCCCTGCCCCATGGCCTGCCTCCACCAGAGGATGACCCCACCCAGGCCAGCCACAAAAAGCTTGTTCAACTGGTCAGGGAGGCTGCTGACAGCACGGTAGTAGGACTAAGGAGGAGCCCCTCTGGTTCTGGGCTCCCTCCCCGCCAATCCCATCTGTCCTGACCATTCTTGATACACCCCATTCTGCTGTGCCCACAGTCACAGTCATCTTGCCAGCTCAGGGACCACAGCCAGGCAGACGCTAGGGGGAGGCGACCTCTAGTGGGGGCGACCAGGGATAGCCACAGTGTGCCCCTGGGAGCTTCTGGGTGATCCTTGTGTGTGCATGGAGGTTCCCATACCCGTGCTCGAGCACCTCCTTGGGGCCCTGTGGAACAGGCCGCTGCCCTGTAACGGGGGCCTGACAGACCCAGACCAGGCAATAGGAAGGTGCTGTGGACACACACATGCACTGTGAGGGAGCTTTGGAAGAGCAGGACCCCCGCCCCAGGGCTCTGAGCCTGTGAGGGTCCTGGCAGGTTACCTGGATGGGGCTACACTTGAGCTGAGAGCTGAAGAAGCATCTCCTGGTTCAAAGCCAGAGGCTTTCCTAGTGCAAAGTGGAGGGATTATCAGAGTCGGAGGTGGGTCTGGCTGGCTCCCGAGGCCAGAAGAGGGACCAAGGTGAGCTGTGAAGCCAGGCCTGGGGGGGGACTGATGAAGCTGGCCTGGGGAAGGGGGGTGGGGGGCGCCTTATCTCCTACTGGGTTGATGGTGCTAGTGGATCCAGTTGCAAGTGCTTTGTGGCTGAAAGGGGAACCCACACCTGCCCGCAGCCACCACCTGCCTCCCTGTCGACTAGTAACGCGAGCCCCAGGGTGGGAGCCGCAGGGCGCCCTGGGTCCCCCACCACCCAGGGCATCCTCTGGCTGGGCAGAGCTGCCCGGCAGAGCGGATGCAGGTAAGAGCGGCCTGGGGCTTAGGCAGGCTAGGGTATGGGAGGGCGAGGAGTAGAGCAGGAGGGCCATAGAGAGGGACCAAATGGCAGGACAGGGTGCTGGCCAACCAGCAGCCATGGAACCCTGGGCTGTGCCCAGACCCTGGTGTCTGGGGCCCCGCCGGCCACCCCCTCACCCCCGGCTCTGCCGAGGCCCAGGACCCCATGCTCTGGGGCAGATTCCCGGCGTCACAGCCCAACCATGCGAGGTAGATCTCGAGGCAGGTGAGGTGGGCCGCAACTCCCCTGCACGCCTTCCCCAGGATGCTGCAGCCAGAGAGTCCCCAGGTCTCTGAGGAGGGGACCACTGCCAGCTCCCAGCGGGGTGACTGCATCATCTGCTACTCAGCCTACGACCTCACCAGGCACCTGCCACGCAGACTCTACTGTGGCCACACCTTCTGCCAGGCGTGCGTGAGGCAGCTTGACGCTCCGACCCACGAGCAGCGCTGGATCCCCTGCCCCCAGTGCCGCCAGAGCACCCCCACACCCCGTGGAGGGGTGGCCATGCTGGACCTCGACCTGGCCGCCTTCCTGGCTGTGAAGGCTGAGTGGGAGCCGTCCCGTGAGGAGCCCCGGGTGCCCCCCAAAGGCAGCACTGCCATCACTCAGCAGCCAACCAGGCTCTGTCCCTCCCTGGGCACCCAGCCCCACTTCCCCTCATCCTGGCGCTGCTGTGGTGGCTGCAGGAGCCTTTGCTGGGGTGCCCCTGGCAGTCCTGAGGTCTGAGTCCTGCCCATAGGACTGTGGCCCACAGCGTGCCCGCCTGGGAACCTCGAACTGTGGCACCACCAGCCCCACAAAGCCAGGGGACCGAGCATCCTGCGGGCTGCCCTACACGGACCCCCCAGACTGCAGTCTAAGTGAGGGGCTGTGCCCACAGCACTGTGAGGCTCTGGGAGAAGAGGGTGGCCTCCTGCTTATCTTGGCCAGGATTCTAGGGCCTCAAGCTAGCCTGAGCACATGCAGGGTGAGGGTGCTGCTGTCAGAGCCACCTGCAAGCCCAGCCCAGGCCAGAACTCAGCCCAGAGGATGCCTCCACAGGTCAGGGCCTGGCCAAGTCTGTGCCTGGTCATGCTGGAACCCATCTCCTCTTCCCTATAGAAGGTCCCAGAGGTGTGAGCCAGAGCAGAGACAGAACCATTTCCTCCATCCTTGGCTGGCAAAGAGTACCTGCAAAGTTCATCTGTTCAACAGAGCCCGCTGAGTGCCAACTATGTGTTGGGCACTGTTCCGGGAGGGTCTTCTGCAGGCACAAAGTCCCTGCTATGACAGGTGCCCAAGGAGAGGGCCCTGTCTGGGGCTAGCTCTAGGCCCAGAGAGGGTGGGGAACCCACCATGATCACTCAGTAGAGCTGCTCCCACATTCAGCCTTTTCCTGGCCATCAGCTTCCTTCTGCCTCATGGTGACCCCCACACAGACCCTTCAGAGGGGCCATAGCAGGTTCTGGAGGCTATGGACGCAGACACTCCCCCAACTCAGGTTGCAACATCCTCATCCCCATCCAGGGAAGAGCTGTCACATGGCCACTCAGGAGCCTCTGGGAGGGACTGCTGGGCCTGCCCTGGGCAGTGGGAGCAGGATGGGGAGGGACAAGAAAATTTGCTGAGAGGACACTCAGAAACCTCCTCCTTCTCTGGGGCAAAGTCCCCCAGGCATACAGTGATTGGTGGGCAGCATCTGGCCCAGGGTGCTGTGGCCAGCAGGCCCCCTGGGGAGACCAGGCCCAAGGGGGAGGGGAAGGAGCATGTGCAGCAGAGCAGCAGGAAGGGACTGACCCTGAGGTACCCACGAACCATGGGCCGGTCGGGATCATTCTCCTGTGGGAGTGGACAGGACGGGCTAGGTCTGCCAATCCAGGTAGGGTGGGCAGTGGGCCAGGCAGCACTGTGACCTGGGGATGGTTCCTGACACCCTGCCCCCACCCCATCTGCCCAACTTGCAGATGGAAGTGCAACACCCTCCACTGTTACTACCCAGCACTGAGGCTGAGGCTGAGGCTGCTGGGAGCTCTGCCGGGCCCAGCCCTGCCCTGAACCCGGATCTGAACTGGATGACCCCAGAGCTGGGGCCCTTCCCACCCACCTGGTGCAAAGGGCTTCCCTCCCACTATCTGATGGGGTAGGGACCACCACAGTAAGATCTGCAGAACTCGGGGCCGACTTCCCAAGGGGCCTCTAGGCCAAGCTGCCAGAGCCCCAGCATCCTGCCCTGCCTCGCCCCAGGTAGGCAGTGTGCAGTGTCTGCTGGTGGAAGTCGTGCACGCAGAGCCTGAGCCCAAGCCTGCAACACACCTGGCCTGGCTCAGGGCCCATCCAGGGAGAAACCCCACTGTAAGAGGGCTGGGCTGGGGCCCTGGAGCCCTGGCCCCAGGCAATAACAGCACCTAGGGCTGAACAGGTACCCCTCTGGGGCCTCCACTCCTGGGTAAACATTAATGGGGCCCAGAGCACAGCAGGTCATGTGTGTGCCCAGCAGATCTTTGACCGGCACTTGCTTCCACCCTGTGTCTCCTCCCCGCAGGCGCCCCCTTACTCCCCTCACAGGTAGGAGCTTCTAGAACCAGGTGGGGGCCTGGGGACACCAGGACCAGGGCTGGGTGACCTCCTGGCGCAGGGCGCAGGCCCCACCCTGAGCCTCCCCAAGCTGAGAATGAAAATCAGGAGGGAGGGGTGACCTGGGCCCTGGACCCTGGGGACTGAGAGGGAACTGGGGGAGAAGACGACCCAGAGATTTGAAGAGAGCTGGGGTGGGGGCACCCAAGCCCCTTTCCCTGCCCCCATCACTGGGGTGTGGCCCTTATCAAGGGGAAACGTCACCGTTTGGTATCAAATGCCAAAGTCTAAACTGGGACCATCTGCAGTGTCCCTGATGACACCTGATAGGAAGCTCCCTGGGTTCCCAGCACCTAACCACTTCCGGCACCCAGCACCCTGGGCCCTGGGCCACCCACCAAGTCTTCTTCCAGCCAGGACCAGCGAGGGAGCCAGGGAGCCAGGGCCCCCTCGATTCTCCCCGAAATTGGACTGGGCTCGCCTGACAGCTGCCTGAGGTTACTGTGACCATCTCCCTGTACATGGAGGAGGCAGGAAGTCACCAAGGCCAGCAGGGAGTGGGGAGGGAAGACAGATCTCAGGTTAGAGGACCCCAGGACCTGGCGGGGCAGCAGGAGGACACACGTCTGACCTGACTTTTCCCCCACCAGATCCAGGCTTGGGTCTGGGTCTGTCCCTGCCAGAAATCCATGCCGAATTCCCTCACGGGTGGCCAGGTCCCCTCCCATACTCTGGACACAGTTGGCCTGGTGGACCGGAGTCTGGGAAATGCAGGTACCAGGAGCCCCAGGGCAGCAGGCCTCAGCCTGCCCCTCTGTCTACCCATCCAGCCCCTGATCCATTGACCCATTTAAGTGGGGAGGGGTTCCTGCAGAGCCCAGGGCGGCTTGTGATGATTCTGGTCAGGGCCAGACAAGCTGGAGGCCCCCTTCCTCTCTGTTCCCTGTTTCTGCCTCTTGCCCCAAGCCCCTATACCATAGGCCCCTCCACCCCCTTTGGCCCCCACCTGGGAGTATCCTTGGCCTACTTCACCTTGGCTCATGCAGGGACCTCCGGTTCTGCCCCAGTCTTGGAAGAGGGGAAATGGACCCCTGGGGCCTCCCTCAGCCAAAGGACACTGGCCAATCCTGGAAAGGTAGGTTTGGAGGTGCTGGGTAACTGGGCAAACAGGGCTCCAACTCCCCAGGGTCTGAGTGTGGAGATGGTCCTTGGGGAGGGACAGAAGGGAAGAGGTTTGCCTCCACAGGCTACATAGAAACCTACTCCGCAGGCCACCCCCTCAGGGCCCTGGTCCTTCAGTTCAGCTGCCTGCCCTGTCTGGAGAAGAGAGCCACCCCACCCACTCTGCTCCTCCTCCTCCCTCCTAATGATCATTAGGTTTCTGGGAGGTCCTAGGGGCGGTCTGCTGGGCCATTTTCTACAAAGGAACAGAGGAGGGACCCAGAGCCTGCCATGGGGGACAAGGAGGCTGACCCAGACCCTGCCCTGGAGGGAGACAGGAACAGGACTTCGAGGGGTACCAGGCAGGGCAGGGCTGGGTGAGGGCTGGCTAAGCACAGCCCTGCCCTGTGTTCTCAGAGCTCAGCGTGGCCGGCAGGGTACTCCGGGTGGTCATTGGCTTCCTCAAGGCCTGTGGGCTCCTAGGCAACCTCTATCTTTTCATCTGCTCCCTGGACATCCTCAGCTCCGCCTTCCAGCTGCTAAGCAGTGAGTGCCCAAGGGTCTGGGGGTGGGGCGGGCAGCCAGCCCTGCACAGCCTCAGTGAACCTCCTGTGGACACAGGCAAAATGGCTGGAGACATCTTTAAGGACAACGTGGTGCTGTCCAACCCTGTGGCTGGACTAGTCATTGGTGTGCTGGTCACAGTTCTCGTGCAGAGCTCTAGCACATCCTCCTCCATTGTGGTCAGCATGGTGGCCTCCAAGTGTGAGTGCCCTCCCTCCCATCCCGGGCTGGTGGTGGTGGGTGGGCAGAACACAAGAGGCTGATGCAGCACTCCTACAGTGCTTACTGTCCAGGCCTGTGTGCCCATCATAATGGGCGTCAACGTGGGCACTTCCATCACCAGCACCCTGGTCTCGATGGCACAGTCAGGGACCGGGATGAGTTTCGGAGGTGAGTGGGGGGAGGGGAGGGCCAGGGGCTGCAAGTGAGGCCACAGCCGGGGCCACTAACCACTCTGCTCCACGCGGCAGGGCCTTTGGTGGCTCGGCCGTACACAGCATCTTCAACTGGCTCACCGTGCTGATCCTGCTGCCCCTGGAGAGCGCCACAGCCCTGCTGGAGAGGCTCAGCGCTCTGGCTCTGGGTGCCACCAGCCTGGAGCCTGGGGTCAGGCACCCGACATCCTCAAGGTGCTGACGAAGCCTCTCACACACCTCATCGTGCAGGTGAGGAAGGCCGCTGCCCTCCAGAGGCCCTTTGCACTCTGAGCACGGTGGGAGTGGGGGGGAGGTAGTGCCCCAGGGTTCTACCCTGAGCCCAGGCGGAGGGCATAGTGGGCTGGGCTGTGGGCATCAGAGTCCCAACCGAGCCCTGAGGGTCCAGTACATGGTCACGATCCCTCTGTCCCCCAGCTGGACACTGATATGATTGCAAGCAGTGCCTCAGGCAACGCCACCAACGGCAGTCTCATTAAGCGATGGTGCGGCACCCGGGAGGTGATGGTGAGGTGCCTCTGACCCCCGATCTCTGACCTGCGGAATTACTCGTGCCGCCGGCTCTGAGCCCATCCTGAGCCTGCCCTGCCTCCCCAGACTTCGGGGAACAGCAGCGACTGTGGAGCGACCATCTCCGGCCCTTGCCCCGAGATCAACAGCTCTACGGTGGTGGAGCAGCTGCCCTGTGAGGCCCCGCCCCCCCTCAGCCACGCCCTGGGCTCACCCCTCCCACCCCCGCTCCGCCCCGGCTCACCGGCCCCGCCCCGCCCCCAGGCCACCACCTGTTTGTGGGGACTGAGCTCACAGACCTGGCTGTGGGCTTCATCTTGCTGGCCGCCTCCCTGCTCCTGCTCTGCACCTGCCTCGTCCTCATCGTCAAGCTGCTCAACTCTGTGCTGCGCGGCCGCGTCGCCCAGGCTGTGAGGAAGGTCATCAACGCTGGTGCGGCCAGACTGGGGACCTGGGGGTGAAGGCGGGGAGGGGGGCGGGCAGAGGGTGATCCAACCCTCCCCCCCCTGTAGACTTCCCCTTCCCGTTCAGCTG